TATATCTGTATTTTCCCCAGGCAACCTTTGTATGGCCGCAGCCCCCTTCCTGAAAGTTGACTGTACATTTGTATATCCAATAAATAGAAAAAGGAAGTAAAAAGACATTTTATTTTTTTAACTAAATACATGCGCTTTTAATTAACCGGTCTACCAGAATGCCCACAAATCGATCACGTGGCTATTCTTCTGTGACAATCTGCTACAATTGAGGCGTTGGACTTTTGTTTGTGTAACCGATTATTTCGTTCTTGTAAGTAAGTGATTCGTGAATGCTATCGTTTGTAATGTTTCTTCATCCTCCCTTCATCTCGCCTCCTAGCCTCCGAAAACGATCGCGCTTTTATTTTTTGATTAGCACCCGTCCGTTTCATTTCTCCAAATGCTCCTAGACAATCAAGGATCTAAAATGGTCTCTGTTAATAAAGTCCTACCTACTCCCCGCTCGTAGCAGAGGTGTTTAACCACCAAGGTGAGAGGTCAACGCCTGGGGACTGTGATCCGGTTGGCAAAACACTGTTAACGCCCTTCTTCAAAGATTATTTTGTCGTGATCAGTTTGGCACACTGTGTGGACTCAAATGCGTGTGAAATCCAATACGTAATAATAACAGCACTGGTCTGTTCAATTCTGTCCGAAACTGTACGGTTCTCAGTGGTTTTCAGCGGTGTCCGAACAGCAAAGTTGAAGACACTCCAACCAATTTTTTTGTGTTCTCAGACTGGGCATCTTCCGAACACATGGGCAAAGTGAAAGCGTATTTATCGATTATTGCGGGATCCAAACGTCTTGACGGATCGAAGCTTCGTGGTAGCTAAATTTTCTTCCCCTAAGTAAATTTTATCTAATAGCTTCCAAGGATGTGGGATTGATCCAAATCAAGGGTTCCTTCAAATCCAGGAATTGTATTCACAATTTGGGTTTTAAAAGGTGTACTAGCTGAGTGAGAACGTCAAATTAACGGTTGTGTGCTGTGATTTGAAAAATGCTTCTAAGGTTTACCCCTTTGGACGCCTGATATACGAAGTGTACTACACGGATAAATTTGTCCTATTACGAAAATCCATCAGACTTTCGTTTCACATTTTACTCTATTTCTGTTTACCACCAGCACCACTACCACACAGGCTTGAGAACACTATCCAATAGCAGTATCGTGTGCATGTTTACATATCTCTCTGGCGTAGATTGTAATTGTGTAATCATATCTGTGCTCCCGTTCTCACTCGGGTGCTTGATAGACCCGAGTCCGCATTGCGCGTTTTCGTGCACGTGCATGTGTCAAGCTGCGCGTTTTTGGATCAAGCAAATCAGTTGCCAACATAACTCCCACACCGGTGTATTTGATTTGCTATCTTGAGAGGATTTTTGAAGGTCCGGAAACGTAGCACAGTGTATCTAATACGGCTTGATTCTAACCGCAATCCAGACTCCTAGTAGTGGTTCTGTGGTACCACNTGGTACCACCACCGCCACCGCCACCCACACCGCACACCAGAAAGCATAACCCAGTTGATGGATTGATCAGATCACCTCCATCAATTTACTGCGCCTGGTGCGAGTGTGTATGTAGTGTGCCACGTGATCATTTATCTATGTCCACGTTTACTCTTTGGATGCATGAAACNATACCGAACAGCAGACCGACAACCAACGCACCAGCGAACAATAAACCGAACCGAAACCCGAAGGCCTTGCGTGACAGGTCCTTAGAAACTCCCACACAAGTGATTTGGTCACGCTCCGGGGTTGGATCTACACCCCACTGTCTTGCGAGAGAGAAAGTTCCATGAACTTTATGTGGGCTAAATACTGCCAGGTTGCTCAGGCCAAGGCAGATGAATTTTCTTGAGGAATTCACTACCGGAGCCTGCGGTTAGCCAAAGCCTGACTCGCAAGGTAGCAGGTCGGCGGTTTGTGAGAACCGCAATCCATTGGGGGTCGGTGTTGAGTTTATCGGATCACGCACCCTTTGGACGGGGTTAAACGTCCAAGGTGCCCAATACACCTCGACCCCCAATTGAACCGGTGACAGTTGCCGCAACCAGGAATTTGTGTGTGTGGTTTGTACGCCTTCCTTTGGTTGGTTTGTCCACCAACCCGGTTATAACCCCGGATGTCGGCTTTTCGTCCTCTCACTTTGGTAGGAAAAATACCTCCTACCCACGAGAATGCAGTGCGTAGGGCTTCCTCAGCAAAGGCTATTTGAGACGCTTGGTGGTATGGGAGCATTTCGCGAGATGCAAGGGAAGAGTGACCATCCGCAACCCTAGACACCCACCCCCGACCATACTGAGGCTTTTAGAAGCAATCTTAGGAGATGCTTCCCATTTAAGTCTCCCGTCGGATATTACTCAGTGTTTAACCAGTAAGGTCATCCAGTCAGAAGGTAAAACCTAGGTCTCCGTTTCATTTGGTTGCCTTCAATGTTCGCGAACTCTATTCGATGAGCCAACAAGCGGTCCTAAATGTAACCCTTGAAATTTTCGATTTCGACGTATGCCTTGCTCCTGAAACACACGCATGCTAAAACCTTTTTCAATTTTCATCTCTCCGTGTTCCACCTTATCCTCACGCTTTATTTTCCGTGTGCCAGGCGATTCGAAATCCGAAGGTCGCTGTGTTGGGATTGCAATAAGTGTCAATGCCTGAGCACTGTACGAGACGTACAGCAATGTACCTAAAATGAAAGATGAATTCTGCAAGGATCTTCCTCAACTGCTCCAAAGTGCTTGGTCAACAGACAGCGTAGTAGTAGCCGGAGAGACCTCAATGCTCAAGTGGAATGCTTAGACAAACCAGAAAGGTGCCAAGGTGGCCCACACGCAAATTCAACCGATCGGACGAACAACGAAGGTTGCCTACTTCAACTTTGCGTGGACCAAGGATTGTTTCTATCGAGCACCAACCTCTACCACGAGAAAAGAAACCGCCTCATATGAAAACCTACCTCTTCACAGCGATAGACTCAAGTCGATCATATCGCCATCCCGCCACCGCTTACAAGGGTCTATCTAAGACTGCCGCTTTCACTGGTCAACACTCGTGGATACTGCCCACGCTTTGTTACGATTCAGATTCTTCATACCTCTGGTAAACAATCGCTAAAACGCCACCGGAAACG